GCCAGAGAGGTAGATAATAATAGCCTACTGATGTGTGTGTGTGTGTGTGCGTGCGCGGGCGCGCGTGCACTCGCTCATGTGTATATATCTTAAATGCGCTAAGTGCTTTCTAGACATTAGCTCATGCAGCCTCTCAGTTCTCTGGTGAGGCAAGTGGAAAGTTTTAATACCTATTTCACATGCATTAAATATCAACAACAGAAGTATATGGTGTAAAACCTCAGAGAAAGTCACAGTGCTGAGGCATTTACCTTGACAAGCTGACACCTACTGTGTGCGTCAAGTCGTCCTCCATGAAATAAACATACTGGGGAAATGGGAGATAGGCTCCTTCTTCCTATCAAATGCTTTTAGAGCAAGAAATACGGCAATATATGGACATAAAACAATTAGAGGACAAAATAGGACCACATACCACCTGTTGTGACAGTTAGAAGATGGAAATCCTCATGCTGTGGGCCCCAAGGCTGCACCTTGGTAGGAGACTATTGCACCTTTTTTTTTTTTTTTTTTTAGTGCGACAATGAAAGCCACTTGGGATGTGCTGCTCCTCTATAGGTTTGATGCTGTGACTTCTATTTGATCAGGAAGACTTTGGCGGTTTTCTTTTTGAGACCTGCTCTCAAGACTTGATCCCCTTTGGAGTGCGCCAGCCCAAGCACCACAAGGACAAATGTATGTCCTGGGAGCGGCTAATGACCTAGCAGAGATGCAGTTGGCACCCCTTGATGTTCTGGAGTGGGCAGCTGATGGCCTCCAGATGGGAGGGCGTACTTCCTCCCGTGACCTTGCCTGCCGCGGTTCTTCCATTAATGGGCCCGTGGGTCAAACCAAGAGACAAAGGTGGCGGGCGCCTCCTTGCCGCCCTAGGCCTTCCACCTCAAGGTTGCGGAGGGGAGCCCCAAGGGCCCAGCGGGGCGGGGAGAGGCGTTTCCCCCTGTCTCTCTGTCAAAAAATAAAATAATAATAATAATAATAAAGTCGATGATGAGAAGCCCATTATGGCTGGAGGGCGAAAATAACATTTTCATGCTAAAGTCCAGATGAGGCATCAAGACATCTTCCAATAGAAAATGATGAACTTGCACATCAGGAAGTGCAAAGACTATTTAATCAAAGCCTTTAAGAAGATCAAACCTAATCATAAGATGTTAAAAAAAATATATAAAAGCAGATAAGAGGAGGTTTGGGCTGCATGACTAGAATCTGAAAATCAGAAAAGAGCCTTTTAGGTCCTTTCACAACAAGAGAAATATGTCATTTTTTTTTCTCGCTCAGCAATCCAATTTATTCACCACAGTGGGTACGAGATGGGACTTAAACAGCATGGCCAGTCAGACAGCCCAGAGGACCAGAGTGCTCTCTCCCATCCTCACTCTCCAGAGGGTTTGTTATTGACTATCCCTGTTTCCCTATTTTGATTCGTTTTATATATGAATTTGAAAAGAGAGGGAGAATAGAGAAAGAAAAAACAAGAAATGCAGGGGACCCTGTGCTCCACAGCCTCCAGGTTCAGACCTTCACTCTTATGACGAGGTTGGGATCAGCTTCACAGAGGGCCCTGTGTGGACAGTGATGCTGGAACACCAGGGAAACTCTTAGGGAACACGGGTGGAAACAGCACCGTGAGGGCACGATCCAGGACTTAAGGTAGGTTGAGGTTTTAATGCCAGGGACGCTGGCATTTCTTGTTATCACTAAAAGTTTGCCAGTGTGGTCTTTGGTACCATGGTCATGTATATTGTGAGCATCCTACCTCAGGAAGTGATTAACACCAACGGCTACCACTCAGAATTTGCCATGGACCACCTATAAGCTAAGCACGTTCATGAGTTAGACCTAATTATCTCAACAACCCATCAAGATAGGCTTTACTTTACCTCACTTGGTCCAGAACATTGAAGCAATTCAATCTCAATCGTAAAACTGAGGGAAAACAAGAATCCACCTCAAAGAAGTATAATTACAAAGTCTTTGCCTTTTTACTTACCGAGCAATCAATTCTCAACTCTTTTCAAATATGAGGACCCTTTTCAACATTGGAAAGAAAAAGAAAAACAGTTCTAGAATTTTTACAGAAAAGTGGTTGTGTTTTCATGTATGCCGCCTACAGGCAGAAACTTGGTACATACCTGCAATTCATAAGCCCTTAGCAATCTCTCCATAGCCCTAGAGACTGCCATCTCTCATCACAAGGGACCTACTCTCCAAATCATTTTGAGGAAAGCAAGTATGTTATGGCGGAAGCTGAGAACCTTCTAGCTCTCCTGGTGCTCACCAGGAAAAACTGGGATGCAGTCAACTGGCGAGCAGAGCAAAGCTGTAGCAGCTACCCCATCTTTCCTGGTACCCCTTCAAGTTCCTTGCCCTTTTGTCTCGTCTTCTTCCTCCAACATGTGGCCAGAAGACTGTTTTTCTACAACTTACTCTACAGGCTCCCTTGATTAAGGCAACTGCTGTTGTTGAATCAGATTTCAACCATAATAAAAATCATGCAGTAATTTCCCAGGCCTCTCGTGCCTATAAGAAATGACTCTGTACAGTTGGATGCATGTGAAAATACATAAAATAGAACAAGGCATATATAAGAGTATCAGTCAGTGTTTCAGTGCTGTGACCATGGTACCCAACAGGAACAACTTAGAGGAGTAAAAGTCTATTCTGAGCTCACAGTTTCAGAGGCTTAGCCTATGGACATCCAACTTCATTGTTCTGTGCCCAAGCTGAGGCAGAGCATTATGGCAGAAGGGCATGGTGGATAAAGCTGCTCAGCTCATGGCAGCCAGGAAGCATAGAGCAAGGGGAAGGAACCAGGGGAAAAAATATATATACTCCCCAGGAGCACAATCTCCAATGTCCTATTTCATCCAGCCATGCCCTACCTGCCTATAGTTACCATCCAGTTAATCCATTCAAATTACTAATACATCAACTGTATCAAACCAATGATTAGGTCAGGGTTTTCATTATCTAATCATTTCCCCTATTATACTAACTCAGGAGTTTTAGGGGGATACCTCATATCCAAACCACAATAATAAATAATATATATATTACCCACATACACAAAATTCATATTAATAGTACTAATTACCATAGCCCAAAATGTAAAGATGTGTTAAGGGGGTTGAACAAAATAGGAATGGCAGCCGTATGAAGTTATTTGAAGAAATTTTACTGATGAAAGCAAATGAGTTATAAGTTGATTTTGCAAGGCAGACAGAGAAGAAAAAAAAAAAAAAAACATTCATCTGATGAGAAATAATCAAGTAGTAGTGAATCAGGAAAAATAAAGGACATGAGTTTTGATATGTTTACATTTAATTGAAGACAAATAAATAATTCATTTTTTCAAAAGGAAAAAATCCCTAAAGCACACAATGTAAGGCCTTCTATAAAAGGCATTGCTGAGTTTTATGCTTTGCATGACCTTTTTCTTTCTTATCACCTCCCCAGGGAAAGGACTATTCCACAGTGAAAGGAAAAAGACCGAGGACAAATTCTGGGCTCCTGCCCTCCCTTGGCTTCCGCTTCAGCTTCTAAGCCCAGGTGAGACCAGCAGAAGAACCAACTTGGGGCGCCCATTTGTACCCCAAGGTTGCTTTGAAAGATGCAGGTATACCGCCTCATACCTGGAAAAGGAAGAGGTGGACATAGAAATGGCGTACCATCTGCCTGTGCCTCTCTGTCTATCTTTCTCTTGCTCCAATCTGTGGGTGAGAGCAGATGGTGAATCACCTTTGGAAGGGAAGCAGTCTGGACTGGCCCTGCACTTCAAGAGCAGTGTAGTTTGTCCCCAGTACCTGGGCTATAGAGGATAGGGACCTCTGCAACTTTGGGGTAGTTATTCTCACTCTCCTAGGAAAATGTAACAACTCACTTTTATGATCAGCAAATATACCTGAGTGCTCCCAGCACTTTAAGACTTTCAGCAAGAAGCCCTCACTACTTTCAGGAAGTTGCCTTTCATCTTCTCATATCACATATACCTCATCGGACTCACTCAGCGATTATAGATCCAAATCCTAAGGGGAAGCCATTAGCACAACGGTGACCAGAGTGGGGAGTGGTGGATACCAGCACACTCAGGCACAGTTCTTCACAGCACTTCTTTCTACTTCCTCATCTCATCAGCTAGATCTGACTTGGGGAGAGAATGCTTCCCAGGTTTTATGAGTAACCTCTTTGCATTAAACCCTCCCACATTCATGATCTCCTTAAATCCTTACCACAAGCCTTCAGGGAAGATAGCATTATTATTCTCCTTACTTTATCAAGGAGGAAATTACCATTGCCTAAAATCCGACAGCCAAGAGGGGTTTGATTCCAGGGCAGCTCTGTGTGATCCAAGCCCCAGACTCTGTACCACTGCATGTTCTGAAGACCAGAGCACTGATCCCAGAACAGAGTTGGCATTAAGAAAAGTGTGCGAGACGCCTGGCAGAAAACACTGTTGGGAACAGAGTGCCTAAGAAGTGTCAGTTTTATGTGAAGCATTCAGCATAGGCGGATCCAGATCATGAAGGCAGAACTGGCCCCTGAGCTAAAAAGATGAAGCACAGAATAGTGAGACCATCTCCAGCATTATTCTAGAAACATTGTGATGTCTTGTTGGGTAACCACAACGCCCTTCTGGCCCAGGGCTAATGTCCTTTTGCTGTGAGCAAGAGAGCTAGAGAAGCAGTAAAGTTTGACCTTGGGTTGCCCCTGCACCCATCTCACTATCTGTCTTTCCCTGCAACTCCTTCTTGCTGCCATTGTTTTAAAGATACAGGCCCAGGAATATCTTTTTCTATGTGTTTGTTGCCAACCATTTAATTTGATTAGAGGTTCTTGGTCTTTGTTTTTGTTCTTCTCCTAACCTTGGCTCTCCTTTTCATCCTTCTCAACATTGCCCCTTTTGCTTTCTGTAATATTCCCCAACTTCTTGCTCTAATTTCCTATCTACTTTTCTCTCCTGAGAGAGAAAGAGAACAAAAGAATGAAAATGGGAGCCATCCTTTGCATATCCCTGAATGATTCATTTATTTGATTTTTTTCATTACATTCTTTGAATGAACTTTATAAGATCTATGGTAACTAGATACCCCATTTGTGTCAAATGTTCTTTTGATATGTTAGCACTGTCTAAATAAGCATTTCAGAGCATCTTCGTTCCTCTTTCTCTGGTTCACAAATCTGGTGGTTGGGTTTCCAGCTGCAGAGAAGAGAAGAAAGAGAAAAGAATATTTGCAGTAAGGCCAGACACACAGAGAACAAGTCCTCGTCCATTTCCTGGGTTATTCAAGCCTTTGTACTCTATTGGGAGAGAGGGAAGTAGACAGCAATTTGCATCTTGTGTAGACACACACACACACACACACACACACACTTCACAGAATCTGGGAACGTCAGAGTTGGAAAGGTTGGAAAATATGTAAACCAGATCATTCACATTAGAGATGCAGAAACTAAGATGAGAGAAGCAAAGTAATTTGTTAAGATCATAAAACCAGTCAATGGTTAACCTAGGACCAGAAGGCATCTGTATTCTTTCTACTGACCCATCGAAAGATGGAGCTCTGAATCTTTCTGACTTCTACTTTAGTAACCATTTTTTGGTTCTATTATCCATGAGCTCATCTGAAGTCTTCTTGAAGCTATTTCTGTTTTCAGTGTCATGCTCCTGAGCAGAGTCTGAAGCTGCAGGGATGGAGGGAAGTGGGAATATGAAGGGGTTTATTTTTGTGCTCTCAGATCTCTGACCTCTTTCCTGCAGAGGGAGTCAGAGGCCTTACAACACAGGAGAGAGATTTTGAGATGAATGGTTTTGTTTTGGGAGGGGCCTCAGGGCAAGGTGTTCACTAGAATTTCCCAGGAAATGAACTATCATTTCCCCCAGAAGTGAGTTTGCAGCAGACCCATAGTAAATCTACTCTGGTCCTGGACACCTGTCTAGTTCTCACATCATAAACCTAGATGTGTCAGTTGGGAACTCAACATACCTCAAAATTCTCACTGACGCATGTGAGGCCAAACTGCCCAACTAACTCTAAATATCGAGGAAACCACTTGCTATTTTTTCTCCAGGGCAAGTTCATAAGAGAGTCAAGAACACAGCACAAGGGTCCAGATTCTTGAACAATGAGCAAGTTCTGGCATGGTTCAAGAACAGGTCTCTCTGCTTTGGTCAGTGTTTCAAAATGGAGACACTTTCAAATGTCTCTTAAAAAATCAAAAGTAGGGAAAAATCCTCTTTTTAATCATCTCAGCCCCCTCCTGTTAATTTCCCAGTCATGGTGGGCCTTTCATCCTACCCTCCTGTTTGATATAAAAGGGCCTGGATCTTGTGGAGAAAGGATAGGAGGAAGCAGATAATCACAGGCCTTTGGACTGGATTCTTTCCATTTAAACTACAAGATACTAGCTGCTGGCAGGATTAGCATAACTAAAGGAGCCTATGATGCAAAAACTGGGGTGACTGGGGATGAGAAAGGCCATCTAAATGTGGTGGGGGGAGATGCTACCATAAAGAGAAAATGACAGCTGGTGCCTTGGGGAAATGAACAAAACTGTTCCCTTTCTTCTTAAGGAAATTATCATTTCAACTTTGCTCTGTCTTCTCCGTGACCACTTAGAGGAAGGAAGGCTCCCAATCTGCATTTAAATGGAAAGATTTCAGGAAGCACAGAATAGAGCATAGGCTTTTCAGCACTCTCCCCCCTCAAGGAGAAGGCCTTAGATGCATTAAAATTGACAGCTGCTCTCTGCAAATGCTGAGGGCTACACTCACCCATTTCCAGCGGCTCTGATAGGCCAGGGGCTTTTGCGGGTTGGTTTCTCAGACGACAAGGTCCTTTGCTCTAAGGAAAGTATCACATGCTGCTGTCTGGAAATCTACCATTCATTTTAATGGAACTTCTTCCTGTGTTGTTTTGATCTGTTTTTGAAGTACAGATGTCCCAGGAGAA